AATTGCAAACTCGTACCCGGCATACAAACGATCTTCTACATCGCGATATCCGTATTAGCATTATCTCAGCTGAAGATATGGCTCGGCAACAAATGCATCAATTCCCATGTCAACTAGTTAAGTTTTTAACATGCTCCTAAAACTAGCTTCAGTATCATTTTCCTGGAGTTGTACGGAATAACTTATTATTGCTCAGCGGCGTGATAGGTTTCTTCAAAAGCTCTTACAATTTAATGGTCTGACCAAGCGTTCACCACTACTAACACAAAACAAATCACGAGACAATGATCACAATACTAGGATGCTCTGTCTAATGGAGTTGCGCTTGCTAACTGCTAATCTGTCGCTCTGAAATCAGAGTCTGTGTTAGCTCATCACGTGAACCGCCGATTCTTATCAATGGAAGTGCCGAGAGGTGCAAGATTTCATCGTATGCGCGAATGCAAGTGGTCTGAGGCTACCAAGCAGATATTCGAGTGTGTAGTTTTCTGGTGCCGCGAATTATTCTTTTGTTTTGTTTTTGCTTATCGCTAAATTGTTTCGTTATTTTTCAAGCTACATATACTCTGAATTAAAGGCACTACAGACACAAAAATAGAGATTGAAAGTAGAGCGGCTCTTGGTGAAGGAAGAAAAGAAACTACATGGATGGAGAGCAGGATCACGACCCGGCCGCTATGGACTCTGGATGGGAGGCGCGGCGAGATGATGCCGGCGGCCAGATTTACTACTGGAACTCAGTCACAGGAGAGACATCCTGGAAACCTCCAGCACATTTCCATAATGGTAGTGATATTCAGCCGTGGACGCAAGTTTCTGATGACAACGGACACGTCTACTATCTCAACACGGAAACGATGGAGACGCGATGGATGCCACCACCTGCTGCTGTCCAGACCGAAGAAGATGCATATGTCCCTAATGTGCTTGCAATAACGGGAGGGCGAGGAAGAAGACCATCAACTGCTGAACAAGTAAGCGAGTTGAATCGATTACTTAGTGGAGCAGACGACGACAGTGGAGAAGAGAGTTCACTCCGTCAAAAAGATGATGCTCATTATGAAGAAACACGCGACACTTTAACGCCTGAACTTGATTCCAAAAATGCATTAGATGCTGAAGGCTGTCCGTGGATGATGTTTATCAATGAGGATGACGGCGTACCTTACTACTACAACCACATCACTGGTGAGTGTCTGTGGGAACCTCCAGAGAAATTTCATCGCTTCCACCAGGATCAACCGCAACAGGATCTTCAACAACTCGACGAATTAAATGTAGAGAAAGAAAAACTGGAACTTCCTGTAATCGAAGATATCGCTGACCCACAAGACGAGCCGGCAGACTCGACTCTGTATAATGGGATGCCAGATAATACTCCTTCACAAGTAGTAATTACTCCAGACTTTGAAGAGAAAGTGCGACAAGCAATTACGACAGTCTCCAATACACCGGTGGGCTCAAGTAGACTGGTGCTGATTCACACACCTACTATTCAGCAACTCGCACCACGTTCAGAGGGCGATAACATCTCAGCTCGGGCCTCCGCTCGTCCGCTCAGTGGGTCGAATTCCACACGTCTCGGCGGATCCTCTCGTCCGTCCTCTGGAACACCTTCGACAACTGTCATATCTTCGAGACTTGATACAGTTTTGCCCTCTACTGAAGCTTCTTCAACACTCGAAAAGGGGATTGCAGTGAGTGTCGCCGGTAATGAACATCACGGTGAAGTTGCAGAGGCCCTAGTGGATGAACTTCACACACTTACCGAACAAGTCGATGATGGACGATTTTCTGTTATTATTCAAACTAGTAGTGTACAAGAAAGCAGGGCTGCTGCTGATAGTACTGAAGTTACTAGTGAGGAAAAAGCCATTTTCAATGAGGCAACAAGAGACACTGACGAAGAAAAGCTGGCTGAAAACCAGAGGATGGTCTTAGAGTCTGCTGAAGAGACAATTAACCAGGACGGCGACAATTGTCTAGACGAAGCAAACAATGCACACCAAGATTCATTAGAAGCTACGAGGGATATGAATGCGGAGGTTGATGTTGTTGTAGAAGGTGAAGCAGCGACAGTAATTGCAGAGGAGCGTTCTGATAAAGCAGCTCTCGAACAAAGAAATTATATCGCTGCACTGACACTCCAGTGCATGGCGCGCGGTTTCGTTGCACGGCGGCGAGTGAAAAACAAACGTGATGAGCGACAGCAGCAAAATGCGGTTGGTACTGCAAATATTCGAACAAGCGAGGATGTCAACACTATTACTGCTGAACCCCCTGCTGTGACTCAAGCTGGTGAAAACAAGGAAAATTTAAGTTCTTTACATAATCTTCCAGTACATGAAACTTACCTGGAGGAATCGCCCGATAACCCTGCTCCGAGCTCACCACCTGAAGGCGCGTCCATCAGCAATGTGTATTCAACCTTGCCTTTACCCTCTGGTGACCAGCAGACTTCAGCTGTGAGCTCTCTGAGAGCTACTTCATCACGGATTGAAGCCTTACCGAACACTCCATTTGCTTTCCCGTCAGCGTCGTCTTCCAGCACTTCCACTAAAAAGCAACATTCTACAGTATCAACACGCCTACCGTCAGTACTGGATGTTACAAGGTACTTTCCACAACGATGCGACTTAATTTCTTCTCACGTAGATCACGCTATAAGCTCCACAACAAGTCAAGCAGCCATTATCAGGAAGAGAGTCGATCTTTCGTCATCGCTTCGTGTTCAACGTGCCCCCCAACAAGAAACAAAGGATCATGAAAAATTACTGGAGATGCGAAGGAGAGAGGAAGAGCATTTTCGACACGCTCAAATCATCGAATACCAACGTTTCTACACAGAAAGCAGAAAAGAGCTTGGTGCTGAGAAGCAGCGACTTCAGGAAGAAAAGCAGATTCGCGATCAACAGCATCGACATGAAGCTGAGGCTGAGAAGCGCGCAAGGATCCAGACTCAACATGAACGCGATGCAGCGCGTACCCGCACCATAACACCCGTCAATAGTACAGATCCGTTAGTATGGGAATACATAAAGATCCAAGGCCAGCCAAATGAGAAGACTATTCGTCAATTCCGAGAAGCGCTGACACAGACGTTAAGCTCGACAGAATTTCCTAAGAAAATGCGTA